GATGGATTGCAGTTTCGACCTCGCATAGGTTTTATCAACACCACCAGCAAGAGTCGAACCGTGAAAGAAAGAATGTGAGCTTGACACGATAATCACACGGCCACATTGCAAAGAGTGTTGTCTTGGATCACAGCACATATAAGAATTTCAAGGAAAGCCGGGCCTTTTCCCATTTAACATTCTTTAGTGGGATTGTTGATGAAGCAAACGTATTTTTGCTATAACAATAGATTACGTTACTTATTTTTCGTATGTAAGTAGAGTTTTGAGGCTGCCAGTAAATCATTAATATGATTTGTATTCACTCTATTTCGTTTAAGGTGATTAAGGGCGTGTCAAGCTCACATTCTGCACTGTCGCGGTTCGACTCCCTGCTAACGATGTTGATAAGACCTATGCGAGGTCGAAACTGAAGTCAAACCTGGATGAGAACAACTTTTGGGAAATCAAGGCCAGCTGAAATTTAATGGAAACGTCAGCTATATTCATATCATTGTGGGAAAATTCTACAACCTCTCCTTCATCACCTTAAACAAAACAGAATGAAAACATATCATATGACTGATATATTTATAGTCTCGAAACTCTAATTACATACGAAAAACAACTTTATATACGTTTAAAAGTCAGAGGGAAGTAAATCCGAGTTAAATATATTTAGATCAGACTTTTCCAGATGACGATTCCACACAAACTGTAGAATCTTTCTTGCTCTAGTGCTCTAGCCGATAAGAATAAATTAAAAGATAATGGAAAACAAATAGCTCTCATACAATGAAGTAATAAAAAAGTCAAGGAAGAGTGGGACGGATCAAGAATCCAGCGGCAATCACTTATTGTTCTTCCTAAAGTACCCATGGCATGAATCAAATAAGTGATTTAGGATGTACCAGATAACGGGAAAGATTCTTTCTTTACCTGCTGTATGCAAAAGACAGGCCACATTTTCTGCCAGCCAGTCAGAAGGCGTAGTTGTGATTGTGTTGATGACGCCTATCACCTCAGCTGGGGACCAGTGGCGTCTGGAAAAGCATGAGCTGATCTGATGATCGGAGTAAGAAGCATAAAAAACAGTAGAAAAGGGTCTTGAGGATGAGAATTTGGCTAACCGTTGAATATGGAGCATAGATCGGGAACATGCATAAGGGCAGAGCAGAGAGCCTGAGCAGCTAAGAATAGTCTGAGGGTCTGGAGAAATCATGCTTTCCGTTGGCCGAAGGCAATGTGAGTCGCATTGGTGGTTTTGCACTGTCTGCACTATTCTAACATCTGTTCCCTGGTGTCCACACAATACAGTTTGGCTGCGGCCACCACGTGGTGGTTGCAAATGTGACGTGTATTCTTGCCGGACATGGGAATTAGCATTCGTGGCCTTCTTGGGAGTAGAGCAAGCTCGTGGGCCTGAGACCGGGCAATTGAGGCAAGCAGGCGGAGAACGAATGGACTTTTTTTCTATGACACTGGGAGAGGCGGAAGTAGGATGACGTCCAAAGGAAACTTGACATGGTTGCAAAAGAATGCGGAGCACACAGCCTAATTCTCCGAAGCATGCTGTAAGCTGATCTGCATCGGCTGCTGTATTCTCACACATTATCCGCCACATAAGTTGACCTGGGGTAGTATAAAGTTTAGGCTTAACAGTAGACAACAAAAGACAAAGACAGGACCAGCTAAGAATCTTGGCTTGTCTCCTAAAAATAGTGTTTAGGTTTGAGGTAATTTAGGACTATTATTAAAAAGTGATTATAAGTAATAGTTGCATAGTATGTATCCTTCAGAGGCGATTTTTGCTTATTCCCATAACGAAATTATTTTCTAGATTTATCTAAGTACATTCACTAAAGGAGTCTAAGGGTGATAACAGGAATGAGCAAACCTGAACACGTTAATCGAATGTATGAAGACCAAGATGATGTGGCTTTTTGTGTGGTTGCAGTCTCCTTTCGTTGTATAA